TCTAAATTTATTTCAAAACAAAACATTGAAATAAACTGAGACTATTTGGGTACTAACCATGAATCTATTTTTCATAAGAGATTTTTTTAAAAAAAATTTCCCAAAAGACTATTATAAATGAAGGATTATTCCTTTCTAAGGACAATATCAAAGAAGATTTTTTTTCAAAGAAGATATTTTAAACTCAGGCATTATTTTCCGTGACTCTCTTTATAGTAGAGGCAAACCTCACAGACGGAGTTCATAAGTGGTTCTGTGTCTTGTCTAAACCTTGAGCTTATGTTGCAAAGAGTCTGACTTTTGGCAAGTTGTGCCTACGCAAACATGGATGAGCACATATTCAGTCAAAATAGTCTTTTTGTGTGAGGTGTTGGAGATTGAACCCAGGGCTTTCACCGTGCTGGGTAAACAACCACTGTGCTAAGCCTTAACTCCCAAATACTTAAGTTTTAAGCTAGTAAAAGCTGCTGTGATTGGTGGCTCTAAATATAGATCATATGGATCATAGGGTTGATTATTACCTACAAGGATAGAGTTATATGTTTTAATGACAAGTTTCACTTGTTATATTATCACTGTGCTTGTAATCATACATGAAGTGTGAAGATATACTTTAGATGTCTTTTGTGTGAATTACTCTCCCAGTGTCCATCATTTGCAAATGCATATGGATTAACATAATTATACTTTGAGTATGACTGCTCTTACGGCTTAAGTAGTAAGTAGTTTTTACAAAACTACCAAAGTACCTACTATGACAGGTAGGTATGGTTTCTGTTGATCTGCTATAATGAAATACTAAAAGTACTTATGTATTTCCTGCATAGCAGGTAGATGATATCATACACTCCTTCAAGAATAGAGTGGAAGATTCAAGATATGCCTGATAATTTTGATGCAGAGTAAACTGGCTATGAAAATAACCACAGATGATCTTTTGTTAAATCTAAGAGAATTCATTTAAAATATCAATCTAAATCAATGACAGCATGTAATGCCAGGGAATCAGTATAAAATGCGTTAAACAATACCAAAGGGAAGTTTTGAAATGAATGTACCAAGAAGACAGGGCAACTGGGTAAAAAACAGTGGCATAGCAACATGACGTGAGACTCATCTATGTAGCTGAGAATTAGTCTACAGGCTTCACAAGCTAGACTCCTATCTGAAAATGGCACAACCTTCATCATTAAACATGCAGCATTCGCGCAGTTATGAGCATAGCTCTTCAAGCACAATGCACGATCATCCATTCAGCTCACCCTCCTATTTTTATGACCTCTGCTCATTATGAGGTGAAAATAGGACACAGTATCTATTGTACCTATTATGTAGGCAAAGAATCATCATCTGTTTGAGTAGCTAGTGCTAATGGAACGGACACACACGCACAAACACACACACACAGACACACACAGACACATATGCCCACGCTCATGCACACACGCATGACCTCAAAAAACAAAACCCAGAGCCCACAAATCATCAAATGATTGCTTCATTTCTTTAACCACTGATGAAAAAAAATAAATTTTAATGGTGCTTCAATTATACAAATTCAAGAGGAGCAACGAATGTGTCAGCAATCATTAAGGTATGTTCTTTGTGTGTTGTGCATATGATAGGAGTACAATCAGCATAGGTCAATTACCCTCATCTTAGTATAACTTTCATGCATATCTTGCCTAAGTAGCAACATAAAAGAAACTACAAAGCTTTTGTACAACCATGGAACTCTGATGAATGTGCTATCTAAATGGCCAATTAAATATATAAAGCCTTTTAAACTAATTAAAAGGCTTTATAGAGAGGTTTTCATGAAAAGAAATTAAAACTGTAAGAATTATGTAAATCATCTTTATCTTGTGTGACTATCATCAAGATATTAACACAATGCCTAAATTATTTTAAGAGAAAAGGATCCAGGAGCGTATACAGCATATGAAAATAATTACGTGATGTATTTATATTCATTAGTCATTATTTAGTACTTGAATTAATCATTTTCCAAGCTTTAATGTCCAGTATGTGTTTTATAAGCAACCACCTTTCATATTATTTTTCTCAATGTGTTTACTGTATAGTAAGAATTCTTTTGCCCTTAATAGGAACACTGACATAAAGTATATCAAAGATTAAGGAGATCACACATATCCCTTGTTCCCTGATGCCTAGAAAGAATCTATAGGTTCTAATGAATTCCCTATCACAGAGTGAAGAACAGAACAGTGATGTCTAAATTCTAGAAATAAAATCAGCGTCATAGCGATGGATTTGGGCCCACGAGTTTGCATCACTAAATAATGAAGTCTACCTAAATGGAACCCTTTTTAATAGCCCCTAAAACAAACGATTCACTAATTGCCAGAAAACCATACACGTGATTCACTTTGTAGTTATACTTGTTTCTTGGTTGTGTTGTCTCTTTGGAATCTCCAGAGACACTGTGAAAGTTAGGTAGTGAAGGCATTTTGTATTTATTAAAGAAAAAGTTACCTAAGGTTTGAGGGAAAAGGGAGCCCAAGGATGAGATTAGTGAGGCTCTGGCTCTATTCTACATCTCCAGAAACAAGCTGACAAGAAGCCTACTGCAATGCCTGGACTTGCATGTGCTCTGGTGAATGAAAGACTTAGCTCAGTGCTCTTTTTGGCCTCAAGGAACAAACGAGTACTGCAGCAATAGACTGAAAGAAATAGACTGTAGGCAGAGCATGACTGAGGAAAGAAGGAAGAAACAAACCCTTCTGCTGAGACAGTGTCTCACTATGTTGTTCTAGCTGTCCTAGAACTTTGAAATGGAGACCAGGCTAGCCTTGACCTCAACAAAAGTCTACCTGCAACTACCTAGTGAGTTCTGGGATAAAAGCTGTGTGTCATTATGCTTAGCCAAATAAACAAACACCCAAAACGTTTTTAGTTATTAGATCTGCTTCAAATAAAAGCAGTTCAGAGTTTTTCAGTGTTAGTAATAGCCCCCTTTTCTGTAATAAGATTCTACTATTGAACTGGAATGGTTCACAATAAAAAACTATCAACCTAGAAATAAGTAAAACCACATAGGTTTGTTGAGCATCCCTAATCTGAAAAACCAAAAAGCTTTAAAATCCAATAGTTCTGAGCACCAATGTGATACCATAATTGGAAAATTCCATACATGGCTTAGTATTGCATACAAACAACAGATGAACTAAAATACTGTATTAAATGACATAAGGCATATATATATAATATAAATAAATTTCATGTTTAAAGTTGGATCATGTCCTAAGGATATATCATTATGTACATAAAAATACCCCCAAATCTGAAAACCTCTGAAGTCCGAAGCACTTCTGGCTCCAGCGATAAGAGTATATAGTAAAGCATTTGAAATTGTGTTCTGAGTAAACGAGCAAACAAAGGAATGCACCTCTAGTAGCCAATGCAGTCAGCAATAGAAATGTTAGCGAGGTGAATTGATCATGATGATAGTCACATGATATCAAAAAATTTTTAAAAATTCCTGTTAAGCCTATTTCATCTAGCTGTAATTTTAAAAATCATTTCAAATACATGATGGCAAATCTATTAATTAAACCAATAATCTATTCATACATTTTGCATTTCTGCTTTAATTTGGATAATCTTATCCTTACTTTTTGATGAAAATTAAATTAATTTGTAAAACTCTATGTGGAAGGGAGCTTAAAAACCCAATTGCTAAAGGATACTTACGTTTTATTCTTAGTGTTTTTTATTGAATTTATTTTTAAAACCATCTTTTCTCATTTTAATACCTATCCCAGTTCCCACTCCCTTCCCTCCTCCTGATCCTCCCACCTTCTCCCCAACCCAGCCCCTAATCCGCTCCTCAGAGGGGGTGGGTAAAGACTTTCCAAGGGGAGTTAACAAAATCTGACACATCACTTTGAGGCAGGATCTTATCCTTATTTTAAGGTAACTATGAAAACATGAAAATGAATACATTCCCATGTTACATAATAATTTATGTCCTACTGTATAAAACACCCCACCTGCCCTCATAATTTTGCTTTCCTCAAGCTTTACAACTTTGGCAGCTAAGACTACCCTGATTCTTACAGATCAGAAGCTGTTCAATCGTATGTTCAAGAAGAAAATTTAGTGAAGTTAGTTTTATAACAGTATGCCGAAAATTCATAGACAATGAGGTTTTAAGTTGTATGCTTAGTCTGACTTTATTTGTCCTCTGCGAGCTGACTGATCTCAAGCATTTATAAATTACTAATATGCATATTAAGCTATATATATAGTATATTCATCAAAGAGTTTCTTTGATGCATGAGAATTTTGATCACTGTATTAAAATCCTAATTTCATGAGCTGCAGAGATGGCTCAGTGTTTAAAAGCACTTGTTGCTCTTGCAGAGGACCCAAGTTTGATTCCAGGAACCTACATGGTTGTTCACAACTATCAGTAACTCCAGTTCTTGGGGATCTGGTGCCCTCTTCTGGACTCCATAAGTTCCAATTACACACGTGTAGGCAAAATATTCACAGATAAAATAAAATGAATAATTCTAATAAAAATTTTAAAGTCTAAATTCTATGTAGAAATGAAAATCTCATGAGATAGTAAATTAGTCAGGTGTGGTGGTGCATGCCTGCAATCCCAGAACTCAGGAGGCAGAGGCAGGAGGGTTGCTCCAAATGCAAGGCTAGTCTGATCTACATGGTAATTCACGGACCAGACAGAGACATATATGGAGAATCAGCCTAAACTTCAGCAAGGATATAATACCTCAGTCCTACAAAAATTCGTGAGTGTTTGTTTTATGAGTATATCTATCTTGATAAATAAACTACGGCAGAATGAGTCTCCAACTGGTTTAGTTCAACATATAGAAAGGCTACATCTTGTCTTAAATCAAGTAATACATAATTTTATCCTCTTATTAATCTTACTTTTCTAGCACATTTTCCTTCTAAATGTCTAGAAATGGACACACTGAAGTACTTATGTGCATACACACGGCACTCACCTTCAGAGAATCAAAACAGGCCACCACACGGCCGTTTTCGACATGGCAAACTCTTGGCGGATGGGCAAACATGCACTCTGTATCAGCTCGAGAGCAAGTTCCTCTCTGAAATTCTCTACAAACTTCTAAAGTCAGCCACTTGGTATCTCGAGTGAGAGCTACACTAACAGTTGTCATATTGAAAGCAAAATGGCAATCAAGTGCACCCTCCTTCAGACAATAACCTGTCAGTGGATGGTTTGAGGAGTCTAAGTGAATCTGAAGCAAATGCGGAGTGAGAGCAGGTTGCTTTGATGGAATGTGTTTGTTTAGCACTTAGCTTCTCAGTGAAGGCAAACCTAATCTGGCCAAACACAAAAAGCTACTTAAGTCAACTTTGCATCAGAATAACCAAAAATCAAATTAGAGACCAGGTCCTAAGAAGGCAACTATTAAGGTTAAGATATTGCGTACTATATTTTGTTCCTTTACTGAATTTGCTTCAAATAACTGGCAGACTTTCAAAAGAATTCTATGCTGTCTAGTTGATGTTTTCAATTATTCTTACAAAAAGCATATGTTGCTGGCTGCCCTTCAGTGTGTGGAATGGTCTCAGATCAAGGGAGAAAAGTCTGTCTCCCCAATTCGTTGCTCTAAAGAATAAGATCGGGAAGATGTTACAACCTAAAAAATAGTTTTGCAAAATCAAGGGGAGGAAAAATGACTAAGAACACTGAGAATGAGAGAAAAAAAAATCAACGGGCGAGTTGCTGACAGTGAACTACAAGCACAGCAAGTTTTGTAGGGGCGGGAGTGGGGGAGGGTGTATGGGAGAGAGCTTGGAAAGAGAGCTCTAGAGTAGAATCCAAGCAGCAGAGTTTTCAGAAAAGGCACTTTTCAGAACCTGCAAGAAAAAAACAAATGAAATTAGGTAAAACACTCTAATGCTTCCTTTCAAACTCTAGACTTGGAAAGAAAAGTAGCTGCATCCTCTGTAGGACAGGAAGCATTGGCACAGTGAACTACAACTGAGTACAATCCGTACCCAGTTTACTTATATCAGTAAAAGGGCACTTCCCAGTGTAAACTTTTTAGAGTAAAAGCAAGCAACTGCTTAGATACTCTTGTAGTGCAAAACTGGGCAACATTCCAATCTCTTAAAAATGATAGCTTACTTTTTGATATGTTCAGGGTAGAAATTCATTGTGGAGTCCACTATGCAGAAAATGCATGACAGCCCCTTACATATTCAATTTACTTTTATGGGTGTCTGGTTTTTAGAGGCTCTAGGACTCTGTCTTTAAACTAAAGTCATCGACCAATAGCAGCCTGTATAATTTGCTCTCAAAATTCCGAGCCCAGGAATTGCTGAATTTCTCTGAAAGGTGACACGTATGCATGGGAACATCTATGAAACAATGATGACACAGCTAGCTGGGGACTCGCTTCATCTCAAGTGAAGGGAGGGGTGGAAGCAGAAAATGTGCTTTCAATTTTAGAAAATTCCCTGGGGAATATAGGACGGTTTTTCCTGGGTATATTTCTGGGCTATTTGTTAGTCTTCAAGAAAGAAAGAGTTCAACATACACAAGTAGGTGAGCTAGAAAGCACCGCTGAGCAACATGCTAGGTATTATGCAGATTGCAGATTTGCAGTTATCTCCCTGTCAAACAGCAACAGAGGCAAGCAAGTCAACTGGCAAGAAACATGCAAGGTTAATTTGCTGGCGACAGACTATGCACACATCCTGAAGGAAGAGTAAACAAAAGTCAGCTCTAAGTAGCCAATAAAGGAACTATTTGTTAATGTCATCCAAAGTAGACTTAACGCTCTTGAAAATACTTCACTTCATTTTTATACATGTTCAACCACTGTTTGTTTGTCTTTTCCATAGTTCAGAAGAAATGCAATGTTATTTGACTTTTCAGTTATCATTGAGAAAATAAATGCCCAGGAAATGCAAGTAAGCTTATCCAGTCAACGGCAAAACATGTTTTTATCCCTCTGACTAATCCTTCAGAGAAAGTTTGCTAAAATGCGTTGTATGTGACTTATTCATGTTCTTTCAGATTACTGAACTAGTTGCTGTGTGATTAAAGACTTGGGGTCATTGATGTCTTGGGAAGTATTACAGTTCTCCTTCAGAAGCAAACTGTTCTTAATTTCACCACTTTCCACAGTGGATTTTCTAGTGCCCATCTGAAAAACTTAACGGCTACTGGTGAATATGGAATTTCAGTTAGTTACTCCACATTGGGCTTAGGGGCACAGTACGGGCTTTCAACAAAAGCTCCAGGGTTACTGTCACTGTGCTGAAGACCCCTTCACATTGCATTGCACACAACCATGTACTAAATGGTTAAAGTTGTTGGGCAAATGAAAAAAATGCAGCAGTGGTTATGACAAATTTCTGATCGTTTCTCAATGTTAGACGGTGCTATACAACCTAGCACTTCAATGCCTCAGTATACATCTAAAATAATTGAAAAAGGCCTCAGATTCCAGCAGTGTTTACAGAAACATTATTCACGAATCCAAACTGTAGAATCAACCTATGAACAGATGAAAGGATGAACAAAATGTAGTATATCTACATAATGACATAGGAATGGAATGGTGAGACATGCTGTAACATGGATGAATCGTGAAAATAAGCCAGTTATCATGGATTCATTATGTGAATTATTTATAGTAAAATCCACAGAAACAGAAAACAGATTACTGAGTAATGAGCACAGGGACCTCCTTTTGGAGTGACGAAATGCTGTGAGTTAGTGGTTATGTTTATGCAGTTTTAAACATAATAGAACCTATTTATTATTTTATTATTACTACTTTTTGACACAGGGTTTCTCTATGTATCTCTGGTTGTCCTGGAACTCACTATAAAACCAGGCTGCTCTTGAAATCACAGAGATCCGCTGCCACTGCCTCCAAAATGCTGGGATAAGAGTGTGCTACCAACCCTGAAAATATTGTTCCCTTTAAGTGAATAAAGTGGACAGTATATGAATTATGGCCTGATGAAGCTGTTAACTTTTTTTAAGTCTAAAGAGACACAGAAGCAACACCAGTAAATATATAAAGAAAAAAAGCAACTCTGTTGAGTAATGAGATTGAGTAATTGGAAGTAATTCCAATCTTTCTCCTATTCACCTTAGACATTAACTCTCAGCACTGTTAGCTAACTAAGTTGATTTCCATGAGTAAAGCCAGTTTACTTATTTGAAGTGGCTTAGTATATTGTGGAAAGTAAATGAAAGAGTGTGTAAGTTTACATTCACACTTAATCCTACAACTAACTTGCATAGGCTGCCTGAACATATATGAAAGGAAACAACCAAAAAAAAGAATATTCATAAGGGTTGAGGATTTGCTCTGAACATAAACAGTGAAGGTCTGGAGAAAGACTTTTCTACAGAGGCCCATCACGTAGAGACACAGATATAAATTATAAATTTTAATTTTGAACTTATACAAATGAAAAATGCAAAAAGGAACTGGCCTCTGGCCATGCATTCTATGAAACATGACGAGTGGGAGTGGGAGAAAAAGGAATTTTTTATTTTGCCTATGACCTTGAATGGGACCCTGGCCAATTCCTCGATATGGTTCTAGCCAGCACATGTCTTCCTTCAGGGTGAAAATATTTGGGGAGCTGGCTCAGAAGAAATGAGGTACAACAACAAAAGGAGCTGGTGAGAATGTGGAGTTCTCTCACGCAACTGTACTTGAAAGACAATGCATAAAAACTTATATTCTTAAGATCACCTTGAGACAAAATGACAGCCTACAGAATGGGAAAAGATCTTCACCAATCCCACATCAGACAGAGGACTGATCTCCAAAATAAACAAAGAACTCAAGAAAATTGGTCATCAAAAGAACAAATAATCCAATAAAAAAATGGAGCACAGACCTAAACTGAGAACTCTCAACAGAAGAATTTAAAATGGCTGAAAGACAGTTAAGGAAATGTTCAACATCCTTAGTCATCAGAGAAATGCAAATCAAAACAACTCTGAGATTCCATCTTACAACTTTAAGAATGGCCAAGACCAAAAACACTGATGACAACTTATGCTGGAGAGGTTGTGGGAAAAGGGAACACTTCTAGATTGTTGGTGGGAATGCAAACTGGTACAGACTCTTTGGATGTCAGTGTGGCGATTTCTCAGAAAATTAGAAAACAGCCTTCTTCAAGACCCAGTAATACCAGTTTTGGGTATAAATCCAAAGGATGCTCAACCATGCAAAAAGGACATGTACTCAACTATGTTCATAGAAGCTTTGTTTGTTATAGCCAGAACCTGGAAACAACTTAAATTTTCTTTGACTGAAGAATGGATAAGGAAAATGTGGTATATTTACACAATGGAGTACTACACAGCAAAAAAAATAACAACAACTTGAAATTTGCAATCAAATGGATGGAGCTAGAAAACATCATTTTGAGTGAGGTAACCCAGACCCAGAAAGACAATTATCACATGTACTCACTCACCAGTGGTTTTTAAACATAAAGCAAAGAAAACCAGCCTACAATTCACAATCCCAGAGAACCTAGGCAACAATGAGGACTCTAAGAGAGACAGACATGGATCTAATCTACATGGGAAGTAGAAAAAGATAAGATCTCCTGAGTAAATTGGGAGCATGGGGACCTTGGGAGATAGTTGAAGGGGAGGGGACAGTCAGGGAGGGGAGCAAAGAAAATGTAGAGCTCCATAAAAATCAATAAAAAATATATAATTGTGACAAAACATTCTAGAATCACATTTTAAATACTGATAATGTTCACTGTCCATCTTGTAACATTGCTTTGTTTTACACTGTTTATAGTTAAAATGCTAAAATGTAAGTAACTACCTAAATAAAATGGATTGTATGTTTTAAAGCCCCCCCCCCCAAATAAGATTACTTTGTTTGGGGGAAAGTAAAACTTTAGCCTCATTTCTCTATATTTGAACAATAGAAATAAAATTTGGACTTTTTATTTATAGTTCTCTAATGCAGAGCATGAAGTTAGTGCGTTTGTTTTTCTTTTCTTTTTTTTTTTTTTTGTATTGCAGTTTCTACATGCTCAGATTGCATTGATCTTTAGATCGCTCCAAAAGACTGCAGTTTTTGGTTGTTGTTGGGTTTTTTTTGGAAGTGCTGAGAATGGAACCCTAAGACTTTCTCATGCTATCTCAAAATACACTAAGCCATGAGTGATAAGTGAAATATTCTTATGAAAGAAATGATACTCATAAAGCTAAACCACTTGTTTAACATTACTAAGCTATGAGGGGTTGAACCATGACCCCAGGCAATATCTTCTGACTCCAAGTCTTGTGCACATATCTCAACAGAGAGCATTTATCTCCCTCGGGAATCTCAAAAGAGGAAAGCTAGTCATTTTGTGGTATACTTATGTTTCCTTCACAACATTCCATTCTTGCCTGGTAAGCATCATCACCTTCATAATATCCCCAAGTTGTGCTGAACCAACATATATTCAGTATCTGCTATGTGCCAGGCACTATTGAGGATACTGATAAGATCTCCTTTTTTGTGGAATTTCCTATGTTCATTTACATAAAGAACTAATCTAAGATGCAGAGGTCTGGAATGATTATATATTAAGAGATGGTAAAGGGTTGGAAGTGGAAAAACTTCTTTCTAACTCACCATGAATGGTACACCAAGCATTATGACTTAATACCCATAAACCCACTCTCAAACACTTGCACAAAAGAGTCATGAAGAGAAATACTGAAGAATTATTCACACTAAGATTTATTGCTGCCTATATTCTTCCTGCAGAGTATTCTACTCTTCTCATTTTACAGATGGGGAAATTGAGGTGGAATAGGTTAAGTAATTAACTTGCCTCACTTCTTCTAGCTAAGTAGGTGATAG